TTTAAAGTGGGCGGGCACCTACTTCGGATGAAAGACAGAAATGTCTGATTCATTCTGTAGATAACCTGGATCCATTTCGACGGTTCGATGTCCTCGTGATATAGAATCTATTACTTAGTAAGAGCCTGAAAAAAGCGACAGTTGGCGGAGTTTGATGAGTGGTAGGAATAGCTTGATAAGACGTGCCTTGGTTAGATGGATCTAACAGAGTGATCGAAGTGCCAGTTCTTTCGAGCGAACTCCCTAACTACCGTTCTAATCCTTATAAATACAGGGTTTGTTTTTCTGGCTTTACTTTGAGAAGATAGCTTTCCTACAATTCACTAGAATCTATTCCAAACCTAGCCCTACCTCCCTGCCTACTCTCTGACTAACGAAACTCAATCCCCAAGCTCTGGGCACCTTGCTTAGAAACTTAACGAAGAGGACTACGTAAGAGCTTACCGAGCTAAACGACGAGCAAGATGGATAGATAGTAAGTAAGGGGGCGCCGTGAAATAAGCGCTTAGTCAGCAAAGAAAGAATCAAGCTATTTGGAAAACTCCTTATTTACTATAGGCCTATTTAAGGGCATCTAACTGTAAGTAGCCAGGTCCAACCCTTTTACAGTTGTTCTCCTTAGTTCGGAGCTAACTCGTCTCGAAAGAAGACATGCCTCGACTCACAGATAAGGACAAAGGTTAGTTGGCACCTTTTGTTAGCGTTCCGATCGATTGCCTCACTTACTAGCCGACAGACACAGTCTTAAAGAAATGATTATCGAACCAACTCTCAACTGAGGGCGCACTTACTCTTACTAAGAAAAAAACGATGAGTGTAAGAGTTTCCTCTTTAAGGTTATGAAAAGGTAGTTGACTTGCTTATTTGCTAGAATAAGGGCTTTGGCCCGGCAATGAGATTAATCAGGCAGCTTTTACGTCTAGAGCTTGGAACTAAACCATAAAGTTATGATAGAAGTGAAGGTTGCAATTCGGAAGTGAGAAGATAGCCGTGAGGTTCAACTAGATGTTTATGAGTAGCCCTTTGTTCGCAATGCAGGCAATTGGGAAATGACATCAGCAATGATAGGGTTTCAACCGAGACCACTAAATAGTGACGCCCCCGGTTCTATCAAACCATACACTTCATCCCTGGAAAAACATCAATATGGAAATGCCTTCCTTGATTACTAAGGTTGTAGGAGTGAATTTCTCTGTTGCAGGTCGTTGTTTTCCTTATTTCTTGACTTTATAGTAGTAGGGGCTAGCCAGCCGTTACCTTCCTTTCAGGGACTTCCTTTCGCCATAAGTATTAGAGTTCTACAGGAAAGAGATCTATTTGGAAAAAGGAAGGGGCCAAGCGGAGTAGGAGCCCCGGTTGCAAGTGAAAGTTCCGCTCGAAAGTCAGCTGCAACGAAAGTTTCGTCTGAAAAGATAGGTAATGAGCTAGGGCTAATGGATGTAGGTAACACTTTGTGCTCTCAGCGAAAAAGTCATAAGTAACCTGAAAAGAAAGGAAGACAGGACTTGGGAAAGGAGCATCAAGATTAAGGCACCCCTATTTATGGTATCGGTGAACAGCCCCTATTTCCGTTTTCGGAAGAGTCAAAGGTCAGAGGTAAGCTTAACTTCGAGAGTTGAGGTCGGCAAAAGACAACTACTCATTATGGTAGTGTAGCAGGTGCATTCCTACTTTATATAACATCCAGTTCATCAATATAAGTTTGAGTTGACAGTTCAATTAATCTGCTAGGAAGGGAGTCTCATTCGTTGAGTGCGATTCTTCAAGTTGAGTTTCCGGAGGTGATTCCGTTACTACAACACAATCCGCAGTTCTTGTTCCAGTTGCAAGTCAGTATTTTGGGGCCAGAATACAACACTTGCCAGCGCATGATCTTACAGCAACACAATCCCCCGAAAGGTTCACAACAAATGCATTATTGCCCAGAAGGAAGGACTTGAAACCGGTTGTACAGAAACCAACTAATTGGAGACAGTTTCTTTCCACTTAACCTCAGCAGTATAAAAGAGAGGAGATTCGGCTTCGGCAACTGATCTTTCTTCTCATCTCGTATACTTGAGAGATTTTGACACGGAATTAGAACTGACCGCTGACTTTCTTAGTTAGTTAGTTGAAAGTCCTTTTTCGTCATGCACATAGTTATAGAGTCACATTCAAAACCTTCTTCCAGCTATGACCCCCACGTAGCGGTAATCTCACTGTTGACTCTTGACTCGTTGCTCTAACACTGTTGACTCTCTCGGGGCGTGTTAGCTGAGTTTCCTGTCTCAATCGGCTAACGGAGCTCTTCTTGTTGAGGGCAAGATATGGAAATGACTATAAGATCATATGAACATGACTTCCACTTAGATAATTAGGGCATGAGCACCAGATTGAGAGTCACCTATACGACCTTCGTTCTCTAGACTTACCCATGACTGCAGGCTCTGCTCTAACTGCGTACTTTTCTGACTTTTCATATACAGCAGCTAGCCCCAGCCCCTGATTGAAAGTACTTAGCAATACCAAAGTCTCCATCTTGCCATATCGCCAACCATCATAGAAGTTCAAACTGGTTCTTCTCAAGCGTAAGATCAGGATCTTTCTATTAGCGCTAACACTCTCACAGCTTCTTAAACAAGAACAGTAACTGGCCATTCTCGTCGACTTGTAGAAAGGTCAAAAGCCAAGCACGCAACCCGAACTCCCCTTGATGCCTTAGACACAAGCAAGTCAATCACAATCACCTCTGGAAACTTATACTTTCACAATTCCCTTCCTTGACACGCCTAAGCTTGTTGAATGAGAATAGAATCTATCCCAGAGCTCCCGTAAGCGGAAGAAGGCTTATTTTGTGCCACAAATGACATTATGGGTGTGGCTGCGCAAAGTAAAGTATCTTGCTGCTCCCCTACAATATGGATTTGCAAGCAGAGTGTATCATCGTATCTGGTTTTTTCACCCGAGTCTTATCTTATATCTTTGAAACTCAAATAGGGTTTTTCAAAAAACGACTTAGATTCACTTATGTCCTCGGAATCCACTAAGGTTGGTAGGACGAAGGGAGTGAACTCGAGGTTATTAAGAGGGGTCATCTTTGACAATCCCCTATAGAAGTTATGGTCTTGATTCACCAGTCAAATAGCCCTACTATTTCTTTTGTGTATGCTCTAGTATAGAACTGCGCCCATATATATGCTCTTTCATTCCCATTAGAGAAGGTGCTTTATTCAGTGTAGTTTGTGTCGCGTCTACCACAGTTGGTGCTTTAGGTCCCGATAGTCTTTCCTGCAAAGAAAGAAATAGGCCCAGCTTACTAAATGGGCTTCCTTCCCTTATTAGAATTGCTCCAGTGGGTACATCCTCAGTTGTTTCGCCTCCTGGGTTCGGTTAAGTTCCAAAACTCCACTTTTCTAACAGACTTAGACACAAGGCAATACAACCATAATTCATTGACTTAAGCGCAACACCTCTGATTGGTAGTGGGCATTCGAAAAGAGATGAGCCTACTAGTAATTGAACTTGAAACAGCCTGGGGGTTTCCCTGCCTTTCGTTTTTAGTTCTCTGCTTCTATATACGATTATCTAAGACAAACTCCACTCGAACAGCAAGACAATTAGTTGACGAAACCCGGAACGTAACTAACCTTTCTTCTTCTTATTTACCTCTCTATTAACAGAATCGCTATAAACTTCTCTTTTCTCGTTTCAACCAAGTGGGCCTAAACAAAAGCTTTGATCGCTGCCCCCTTATTGTTAGTCCTCTGACCATACACCACTTCGAATGGTTACTTCCCCACTTACTAAACATAGGCCGATTCCAATTGAATAAGCAAACTGAGCTGTTGGAAGAACATATTCCTACTTGTTCGGTCTCCCTTGCACTAAGCTCCTCAGCAAGTCTTCAAGTAACCCTACGACTTGAGTCTGGCCGTCCTTAGTGATAAGCCATAGTAAAGAAGAGAAGGAAACAGGAGTTCCGTGCCTAATTTCTTCCATAGCACCCTATATTAGATTAGAGGGCAGACTGGTGTGGTGTCTTGATCGGACGTAAAGCTCCCCTTTCGTAATAAGGCGTGGTTTCTCACCACCTAATGATGATCAAATCACGATCATGGGGTAGCCCGGTTCGAATTCCATATGAAGATTCTCATTTCAATCAAGACCCCGAAGCTTTTTGAGTTCCAGATGATACAGAGCCAATTCGAATTAAGGAGAAAATCCCATATCCTCTTTCACTTCTGAAAATGTAGATTTGCCCGGACAATAAGGCGAGATGGAGCCATCCCTTGAACCCAGGATCGAAGCTATCCCTCCGCCCAAAAGAATACATTTAAGGATTAGAACCAGCTACACCCAAAAGAATACATTTAAGGATTAGAACCAGCTATACTAAGACTAACCATGGAGGTAATTGAAGCAGCTGAATCGACCTCTTAGAAGGAAGAAGAACAAGAGCTACAGCGGTTTAGGAACAAGCCGTCGTGGCAGCACCTGTAAAATGACACGATCCTTCTGGTTGCCCCCTTTGATTAGGCTTTATTCCCGAGCGCGTTCTTTCAAAATGCTCTGGTGGAGCTGGAGAAGCAAGACTCGCCCTTATATTTGATTGATTTTGATTAGTATTCGGCCTTGCCTTTCGAATCGGCATTGATCGTTTCACTGTCATAATGGGAAAGATCCAATCCACTACACTGGCCCGAGAAGGTGTGTAAACCTCTAAAACTATAAGGTATCAATGGACACTATTGGAATTTATCAAACAAAATCAATTAAGTAGGGACCTAAGCACGAAGCTATTACACAATCCAAGCGTTTTTCATCTACTGCGAACAGACGCACAAGATCACCTTTTGTACACGCCACTAGCTGTTAGTTTACCCACTTTACCGATAACAGTCAAATAAATCACACAATTCATTGGCTTATCCTCTAAGGAAGTCAACAAAAACCACATGCTCTTTCCCATATCACCTATACGAATCCGAAGCAAACCCCTGCACCTGATGAATCCCCTTTAATAACGAGCTGCTGCCTTTAATAACGAGCGAGTCTTTCTCATCATTTCAGATGGATAGACGGGGAAGATAGTTCAACTTGGATTTTCCGGGCTGGCTCATGAATTTTCCAAATCTGGGAAGCGACGACGCAGAATCGATTTCTTCTTCCTATAAAGCGAGAAGCCAGTAAAAACCCAATTGGCGCATTAGCTTAGTTCCCATCTCATAGAAAAAGATGTGAAGGCTTCCTACCTATTAAATAAGTGCAGAACATAAGTTAGGAATCAATCACCGTTTTACGTGCCTGGGAAGATGAAAAACCATTCCTGTCTTTAGAAGAGAAGTCAATCCCACGAAACAAACAAGACTAGTACGCATGAAAAGTGGAGGCAAGCAAAGTCAAAGGCCGAGCCTCAACCAGCAAAGGGGACAGCCATGCCAATCCAAGCAGAGCAACTATAAGCCGCCCACTCTACCTTTCTTTCTTTACCTTAGACTTCGTTCGGAGACCCATTGCATTTCCTATGTTCTGTGCTTTTTCACCCTGGATTCCCTTGTGCTTAAGTATAGGTCGTCGATTCAATCTATCTTGATGGAAAGGATTTGGGTTTCTTTGTGAGTGGTATAGAAGGGATTCTTCTAGTGGGTAGCGACAAGATAAGAGGCTACAGCTTCCACCAGTTTTCGGGTGTGGTAGGCTCGTAGTCCAAAGTCCGTCCTCTCTTTCCCAACCAAATAAGCACTTTTTCCAAGTGAACCTTCCTGCGGTCAAAACTACACTTGCGGATAACAATAAGACTTACCTGGCACAGTGACCAGACTATAGAGCCTAATTCCATTTAAAAGAATTCGGGCTTGCTTTCTCAATTCACATCTATGAGCGATGATTCCTGTATCTCTTGCTCCCACATATAAAGTAAGGCCGACTCTTACGACTTAGGGAAGAATGATGGGTCGATAACAAGGCCCGACTGCTCAGAAGGCCTACCCGTGGGATTCCCAATCCGTCCCGTCCATCTATCATGAAAGATTTGCTCCACTCTCCCAGCCGCTTTGACTCATGGCTATAGCCAGTTGCTAAGACGATTCCTATTCAAGCATTCTCATTCAACGGTCTATCAATGGTTCCAAATGCATTTCTTTCCACTAATTATGAAATACAGAATTTGCTGGAAGTACACTATTTCCTTCCGAAATACACTCTGGAAGTAACGTCTTTCTGTACAGGGACTGAAGTAAAGTACTTTCGAGTTGCTCTTTGCTTTGCCCAAAGCCCTCCTTCCCACTTAGACAACAATAAATGGCGCTTTAGCATCTCTTGATAAGGAACCGTATTTCTAGAGCAAAGGGGCAGGGTTGGAACCATAGTATCAGAATGCAGTAAGTTTCCCAGGCGGACTTCCATACCAACACCAGTAGTTTCACTCATCATTACCTCGTAAGGGCGTTTCTAATGGTTTTTTCTTTCTTTTTTGACTATAATAAATTAGCAAGTATTTTCATAGCCTTTGCATAGTTTACGAATTCTGCTTTGTGGGGACCTAAACAAGGAATGGTTTTTCTCAGAGTAAGACCACGCCTTATGACGAAAGGGCCAAGCAACTTCTACAAAAGGCCAAGCAACTACTAATGTGTAGCGGCAGAGTCAAAGTTCACGTTTTCCCGGCTTTTTTGGTTGCACTGGCTTTTTCCTTCCTGACGAGATCTCTTTTTCTGAAAAGTTTACGTTTTCCCGGGATTTTTCATAGCGAAGGTGAGAGCTCCTGCCGCGGAACATTAGCAGTTCCTTGGCCCCTCCTAACGAACCAAGATGGAATTCTATTTTCACGTTTTCCCGGGATTTTAGATAGCCAATAGTATAGGTCACTGGAAACTTTACCTCGAACTCAACTTGAAGAATAGATCTAACAATGAAGTACTACTTTCCACTCAGAACTTCCCGCTTCCCTTGATGGTTCCCTTTCCTCTCTCTTCTCTGTCAACTAAGTCAGTAATTCCTACTTATGGACTACGCCGTTCAATTACTATATTGGCAGCCCTACCCGAAGATGGTACTCTCGACTACCCGAGCCGCCAAGACACGTATAATGTGTCGACCAATCAACTAAGTAAGACGGCCAAGTCACTCAGGTATTAATTATATGACCCGACCTCTCTACCACTACTGAGAAGAATAAGGGATCTACTAACTGAGAAGAATAAGGGATCTACTAACTGGGCCAATCTGAATGAAGTTATAGGATCGGGCCAAGTCACTACTTTCTTTCTTTCCTTGCCGACCTAGACCCTACTTTAGAACCAGAACTTTACCACTACCCGCGCCTCAAAGCCTTTACTTAACCTCTCCTCTGGCTCAGTCTCTTTGAACTCAAACGAACTATACTTTCTTTCTTTCCTTACCGGACTTACTTGTTCCATTCTTTTACTACCTGGTTGCACTCTTATCTATAGTACTAGATGCTTACTCCCTAGCTCCATCCTGTGACTCCTTTGTTTAAGCCTTGGATTGACTAGTTGAAGTCTGCCCAGCACCAGGTTAAGGCTGTGACTCGCTCGTTCCATTCTTGTCCTCGTTAGCAGCAGTCCCAGTGGTACGGGTTTGGTTCTTGCTGTCACTGGTTTGGTTCATTTCTTGAATCACTTGTTTCGGTCTGTAACTACTGAGGGTCATTCTTTCACTCACTACCATCATTCTGTTTGGCCGGTGGTTTGATTCACCAAGCAACTGCTAATGTTGCGCGGTAGGAGTCCCATACTGAGTTTGATTCTTACTGGTTGTCTCTTACTGGACTACCTGGACTACCTGGTTTTTTACCCTACAGAGAGGCCCTTTTAGTTAAGTACTTCAGAATTGAATGGACTTAGTTGACAACAGATGCAACTTCACTACCCGGTATTCCAATAAGAATAACGGACCTCAAGAACAGCCTATCATCCATGTACCCGACCTCTTCTCTCCACTACTGGCAAAGAATTCCACTGTAATCTCTCACTCGAACAGTGTCTTTGAACTCAGGCTTCTCTCTATACCTCTTGCTCATCTCTGCTAACTTCATTCGGTATACCTCTCCTCTTGCTCTTCAAACAATCACTATTCTCTTTCTTGCCCGACCTCTACTCTGGACTAGCTTGCCCACCTCTGTTATTAATGACTATCTTCTCCCGACTAGACCCTTGTAATATCATGAAACTGCTTTCCCCGTGTTTGGGCACCCGACCCGAACTAACTCTACTAGTACTAATGAAACAGATAAGTATCTTTGACTTGCAGACCTCTGTTAAGGGGAATGCGCTAGCTATTATTTATTATGGCCTTATCTTATCTCTAAGCCTTATCTTATCTCTAAATGCCTCTCTTATACTGGATGTGCTAGCAATTATGTATTAGGTCCAGCTTCTAATGTACCTGCTTCTATGCTTCTGAGGTTGAGTCGGCTTCTTCTCTTGTTGGTAACTTCACTTCTGCTTGTCCCGCTGCTTAGCCTTGTTCAACTTCTAGTCCCGCCTATGCTCTTTGCGACTTCTAACCTATGCTCTTTGCCACTTCTATATAATGTTCGTGTTAGTGAAAAAGTGCTGTTTTCGTTTCTTCACTGGAAAGTCCCGTTTTTGTCATCGGTGCATGTGTTAAGGTTCAGTGCTTATGCTTGTGTCTAAGGCGAAGAAAGTCTGTTTCTGTTCGAAAGCAAGTATAAAGTGGAGAGTAAGGAGCAGTGTAAATTCCCTATAAAAGCAGTATCATCCGCTGTTCTGGTTTTCGTATCTGCGTCAGCTAACGTTGGGGCAAGACGTTGTGCGCTAACTGGAGTTGTTGACTCGGAGAAAGGTAAGGGAGCAGCAGAAGTTTCCGTTTCCGCGAGGTGTCATGTCATATAGATATAGTTAAGCGATTCGAAATAAGCTTTAATCCAGTTTTCTGCTTACGGAATTTCTAGGTCACATGGAAATGAATTCTTTGTTTTCTTCGTCGCAAGAAAGAACATTAGATGATTCTTAGTTGACTTCAGACTTTACCGCTTCACCCAGATCCTAGAGACTAGCACTACCACGGAGCATTCAAGACTCAAACTCAGCAGTAGTTGTTCCAGAGTAGTAAGCGCGTATATAAGTCAGCTCGAAAAAACAGTAACAGTAGATTCCATTGGATAGCCGAAAACCACTGTACTTGCAACGGGATAGGATAGGATAGGATAGGACTTAACTACTGATGAAACCCTTCTTTCAAGTCCTTTGTTCTACCAGCAAGCCCCGCGCCTTAAGCTATTAATTAGGACTTGCTCATAACGAGTTATAATACATCTCTTTGCCAAAACAGCTGCCGCGCAACTTACGTAGTTGCTTGGCTGTTTGTAGTAGTTACTTGTCGGCATCAAATGCATTATTTGAAATAAGTACACATTTGGATAAGTATTTCCCATAAAACATAAGAAGTGACCAAGCGTATACTACAAATAGAGATAGTTGCCATAGCTGTTTACAAATAGAGATAGTTGCCATAGCTGTTCCATTCTTCTATATACTTGCTTTATTCTGATCCTAGTATTACTGAGTTCCATTCTTTCCCTTTGTACTTTGCCCTTAAGTAATTGGTCCCTTATTCTTAGTAGTATTGGTTTCATTCTTATCTTAGTACTATGGCATCGGGAATAGCTGGACTAGTTCCATTCTTTTACTTACTAGTGGAATTCTTCCTTTCCTACTTGACTTTATTGTTTCATCCCGCCTAGCTACTACTAGGTCGGTAAAGTATCAAGAGCCCTTACTTAATTTGTTCATACTGATACTGAGAATTCCAATACCCCTGGCTCTGTAAACAAATCCACTTATGGCTCTCTACTATATTATTTCTAAACTCTATTTCTTTTCTAACTTCATGAGGCTAATCCACCTATGTTAACTAACTACTACTGATGAAACTTGACTACAACTTGTAAACTTCAGAGAAGACTAAACAAGGTATAAAACCATTAACTTAAGGGCAAGAACTAGTACTTACTATTAAGTCATCACTACTTTGTCAACTTAGGATCAAACTAGGGAGTCAACCAGAACAGGAACTCTCTACTTTAATAAAGAACTCTACTTTCTCACTGGAACTAGCCCTTGACTCTAATCTCACTCTGTAAACTCGTACTTATTGAAACAAGCCGCCAAGCAACTAGATGATTTCCCCAACTCGTATACAAGGGATGAAACAAGTAACGACACAAGAACAGCTGCTGCCAACCAGTTTCAGTCTTGAACGGATTATAATAAGGGTGCAATTCTAGGACTGCTTAGGGACATTCTGAAGCTACCTCATAGCTACCCCATACTTAATACCCCTAGCATCAGCCTGAGTATCCATTCCGAGCTAACCGGTTGCAGTCTTCCACCGACCTGTTCCATTCTTCCACCTAATAGTTCCATTCCTTTGCTCACGAGTTTGATTCTTGAACTACTTCCCCACTTAGTGAAATTACTAGATTGGAAGCCAAAGCTACTGATGCAACTGAATCCGGCTACTATACCTCTGCTATGGCTCTCATCTAATCGCTCCTCTCCTAAACTCTTCCCTGTCAACTGCTTCATCGCTAACACCCGGGGGCAACTACTACAAAGGCAAAGAGACAAACAGACAGCTTTGAAGTAGGGGCAAGCAACGTAGCTGCAACTACGCCCTGTTTTATAGGCTTCAAAGGAATGATTTCGCATCGCCAAGATGTTTTGAATGTCATTTCCCATCAAACCCCATAAGTGATGTTATAGTGCATTTCTTCCTATCATCTTTACCCTCTGGCTCTGTCAACTAATTCTGATTTCTGAACTTAACTTCAAGTCCACCAAGGAACTGCTAATGACCAAGCCACTACTAACGTGGCGCGGTAGGAGTGAAACGGTAGCGAGCGAAAAACGGGAGCTACACTTAGTATATAGTCCAAGTTTTGTCCTGTACCACTTATATATCTGCCACTCTACCACTTAGGGCTTCAA